TAGGACGCTTATTATTCCGTGATAGCCATTTTTCTTGTTATTAGGAATCTCCGTGTAATTCTTTCTTCTGTTTTAGAAAATTGCTCCCGGTTCATTTATTTCGATCTGAATACGAATGAAATTGTCACACCTTTTAAAAATTACATTTTTATATCATTTATTATCAATATCTGCTGTCTTCAGTACATGGACAGTGGGGCTAACATTTAATTTTTTTCATTTTTGTTGTTTACTAGTGTGTAAACTGAATTGTACTGCAGTTTAAACGCCTGTAAAGAATAAAAAGGAAAATACTATCTTTTTTACATTTTCTTTTTTGATTTATTTATTTTACAAAACTTCAAGGAATAATTAGACATTTATTGAACGTTATACACATTGACTGAAAAATCCGACAACTGCTGAAAGAACAACACTTGATGTTTCCTGAAGTGTTAATGATTTGTTTGATACTAATGGGAGCCATTTTTGTCAGGTATAGATTTTTTTATGATGGCGTCAAGCTGCATGTGAAACACCTACTTGGCAGTTCAAGTTCATCCAGAAAAAAAGCCCGACATATCGACAAGATCGTAATTCAAACTCTTAATCGATAAAACAAAGGCTAATAGCGAACAAAGTAAAGATGTCCAAAGTGATTGTTAAAACTGCACAAGCACACAGACAATTAATGTATTAGGCATACTGTGCATTTCTAGTGTATGACAATGATTGTATTAGTGGCAAAGCTATCGATCCGTAGTTTTAGGTCCTGCGCGCGCGTATAGATTGCATTTAGAATTATTTTACTTCATCGAGTTAACACCTTGATTTATTTTCGCGCTAGCGAACAAATCAAAAAGTTTCTACATAACGCGATATGTCATTCAATACATTCCTTATCACCTTTCATTAATGTCACTTTAATTTACAATTCCCTCTACTTTCTCACCTTTCATTAATGTCACTTTAATTTACAATTCCCTCTACTTTCTCACCTTTCATTAATGTCACTTTAATTTACAATTCCCTCTACTTTCTCACCTTTCATTAATGTCACTTTAATTTACAATTCCCTCTACTTTCTCACCTTTCATTAATGTCACTTTAATTTACAATTCCCTCTACTTTCTCACCTTTCATTAATGTCACTTTAATTTACATCTCCCTCTATTTGCGTGTTCTGTTGTCTCGGTGCATGGTCTGATAGCATGGTTCCGTGTTTTGGAAACCAGATTTTAAATAACGAAAAAATTGTTTCTAATATATCAATTCAGAACTGTTAGTAGCAGAAATACACTTGAAACTCGCATTTTATCTTATTTCCATGCATTATACAGTATCCACACGACAGTCACAAAATATTGCTGCTTATGATTGAAATGGACGGAGAGAAAAAAACCTACCTAAAAAATATCTATTACTGAATAAAACCTCTACATCACCTGTCATCTAATGTCGAGTAAATATTGGTTCTTCAAAATACGTGTAACCCATTTCCCAACGAAAACTGATTAATGTGTTGTCCTGTAAAAGTCTAGTTAATCGGAGCAATGAATTCGAGACATACGTTACGGCGGTCAATAAGGTGACCTGATTGGTGAACAGTGAGCGAAAAGATTACATTTTATTTCAAACTTAAAACCTTAAATTTGATTGAGAAACTAGTCCCATCTCCCATGTATTTCATTTCAATTGGTACATTTGACAATGAAGAGAAAACATTTATAAGCCTACAATATACTCCTGCACGTGGATCTGTATCACGTGTCATATTTGTGATGCCATTGAACTAAGAAAAGAGCCATACTTTATATACATTTGGTTCCGATTGTCGTATTTCATTAGATTTTATGTTCCCTAAAATGAGGCTGTGAGATATTTTAAAATTTCCTCATTGATCAGTGAATAAACTTTCCTTCGGGTGTTGTCTTTTACGCTGGTTATATGTTAAGTGATTCTTCCTTGTTGCGACTGTATAAAGGAGAAATATCCTTTACAAAAACTACTGACTACGACGGCTGTACTTGGTTATAGCCGTGCTACTAGATCGATACAGTTTGCGATTGTTAAACAAGGTCTATTTAAGGTGTAATTATCTTATTTTTGTTACAGTCATAATAACACAGTGTTTTGAAGGTTTGACCTCGAGCAATGTGCCGGACAAAAACACAAATGTAATTGCATATAATAAAACCATATACATGAATAATTTGCCAAGGTTTAATTTGAACTTTGCAAAAACATGTACAGTATTCGCCCTTGTCAAAGGCATATAAAGGTCGAGGATCGTTTCCATCTATATAGTCTTAAGTGAGATTTCATTTCTTTAGATATTTCATTAAATGTCAGCTTTGATAATTGAGCTGGTCGTCCTAATCCTGGCTCTCATCTACCTCCCTCTAACTGATTGGGCCATCATTATTAACACTACCTAATACATTAATATTTTCTTAACCTTAAGTAATTCAATTCGATTTCAATTCATCTCAGATCCTGTTAATCAGCGATTTTCTAAACTATATATTACTAGAACTAGAGCCAGCATTATCTGACACGCTATGAGAAATCAATTATACTGTATATAACATAGAAAGGTTACGAATGAGATCACCAGAGACAGAAAACCTTTCCTGAATTCGTTTCCAAAAATTCTTCAGACAGGAATATGACTAGAATGTGGTCAACAATAGTTACGATGGAGTAAAAAACGGTAAGGTTTTTAGTTTTCATGTTTTTAGTTTTCACAAACAACAAAGTTTTGTTTGAAATGCTCATGTGGATGTCAATGAGTTAAGTTCACTTGAAGTTATTGGAGAATCTAATACATTACAGTCGGTTATTTTCAAGATATTCATATTTTCACGAATCAAAATTTCGCTCTGTGTCATTAACTGGAAATCCCATTTTTGCGAATAGACGAGCTATGTGCGTGCTATTATGGAGTGACTATAAACAGTCGACTCATATTGTCTCAAAGTCACAAAACCATCTAGTAAAAGGATGTATGCATCACAAGTCTTCAGTCTTGAGTATGTAATGGTAATCACGATTTCCGTGAACGGCAGACAGATCAACTTAGACCTCCGAGTTTCTAGAGATACAGATTGCTTAAGGTACCCCGATTACCCTTCCGGAACGCTCGGTCTTATTTTCCTCGTCCTTTTTATAGGTCCGTGTGTAGAGCTTTCGTTTCACCGATTTTGATTTTTAATCAAATATTCATATCTATTTGTATTATATAAGGTGGTTTTCACAAAAACTGTGTGATCGCTCGGATCCAGACAGTTTGTTGTTCACTGTTAGACACCCAAAACATGGTATAACTGGCAGATGGTCCATGAACGTCTAAATGATGATTATTTTCGTACAGGAATCAGATATCCGGGTAAAGCTAAAAGTTTTTTTACACGTCATAGATAACAAAATAGGTTACATCATCCATATTACATAGATTAAAAACCTTCAATGACTGTGGATAACGTACAAAACACACGTGTTTAATGACATATGTTATGCCACATTTACATCTTAGTGGATTTACATCTGTTGTAGCAGATAAGTTACCCGAGTTTCAATCGCTAAAAGATACATTGATGCTTCCTGAATCGAACATTCTGAGCAGCAAGTGTTGCGAACACATTGAGCTAATTAAAAAGAAAACGTAGAAATTGCTCTATAGATATCAAAACTTCCTAATTTACTTGCATGGTAATAATCACGATTTGTATGAACACAGAAGTAGCAAAAATCCTGCACAAAACAAGTGTTGTCTTGGTGTATAATTAAACACTTTAAAAAAATATAACGATTTTTGACACTATTAAATACGTATCTGTTTATTACAAAAAGTAGGTAGTTACATTCTATTATATGTAATGCTTTGGTTAGATGTAATCCAGAACAGGCCATTTGAATTTGAATTGGAGACTTGATGGCGATATTTCATCATGTTGTGCGGATTTTTATTTTCTTTTAATTTTCTTTCGTAATTTATGCAGATAGTGGAGAATAGCAGCACCGTTTTTACTGATACCCAAATGAATATAGTAAGGGAGAATGCTTCCTTTACGATGTTCATCAAATTAAATCATATATGTCACAATGTTTAACAATTGTAAATCGTGAAACGGAGAATCGATACCGTTTCGTAGTTTTCTGGTTTTGTTAAAGCCCCAATATACGTAAAAATCACTATAAAAAACAAACTTTACCTTATTTTCCCCGTAATATATGTAACAAAACAAATACTTTCCTTTAATTAAAGAAAATAAAACTGTTTTCAATTTAAATAAAAATTGAAAAAATCGGAAAATAAACAATGTGGGACCCACAATAATTCATACATTACCGATCGTAGCGATGACATTGCGCATGCGCATATTCCGCGTGTGTAAACATGGCAGACACAGTACAGACGTTCACCAGTCGCTTCCTTTTTTCCCAATCATACATCAGGCCAGTTCTGATTTCTTACGTTATAATTGTGCGTCGTATCGTTTCTAAACTAATTATTCCTTCTAATAATTTCCCAAAAACTGAATGTTTATCACAGGAATACCTAAAGTCTACGACAAGACTTCGCAAACAATGTTTGTAAACAAAAACTTACCGTAGACATATCTACATGTGCTTCCTCTATAAGTATAAACCTCAACTCTCGCGAGATCAGGTCATGAACTTTCCGACGTGGTTCGGCAACAAATGGGTGTGTGTTTACAAATAGCGAGTTTCAACTGCTCATATATCAATACTTATGCACAAAGTCATGGTAACTATTGTTTGAATAACTTAATTTTAACTACATCTTAGAGAATATCTCAATAATTATGTGTGATTCTACACTAAATGTTTGGTGAATGTTACGTATATTGGGGCTTTAAGAGTAAATCACTCAGAAATTTACTTTCATGAGAGTTGTCTCCCATTAATCGTCCAATTGTGGAATAAGTAAAAGAAAATCGAATTTCTCTGTCCTTTGTTAAGGTGTTTCATTTTATTAAAAAAAACTTTCTTTTCCACTATTGTTGGAAAGACATTGATAAGAAAAAGTCCAAGATTCCTTCCAGTTTTAGTATAGACTTGATTTGAGACGGGAGATTAGAAACTCGGACAAAGTCATGTATCTTGTATCCAAAATGGCTCCGAACAACATCACGTGATCTTAGGACCAGCGACTTCGGCGTCGACAGATAAATATGAATTTGGTCTAATATATCACGTGACACAGTGTTACTGTCATGTAATGAATTAAGGAGTTTTCGGTTGCATTTAGGTATGGAGTGTGCATGTTTTAACAGAAACACCAAATGACAATGTAAATGTGGAAATGAAAAAAGAAGCTGATGAAGAAGTGACTCTTCAGGACGACTTCGAAAAATGTTCACATTTGCATACAGGAGCTCCCCTAGGAGCCTAAGCGACAGGAAGGTCGTAAGACAGTTCCGGCCGAAGAAGGGGTCAGCCCCGGCCATGAGCAGCTGCCGTACCACAGAATAGGCTTGAATCTCAAGAGCTGTGTAGAGTGCCGTTTTCCCGTTTACCGACTCACGATTTACATCATTTCCATGTTGTAGCAACCGAAGAATGAGAGCAGATTTACTATAATAAAAGCTGGTGATGTACTCCCCAAATAACATCACTAATGGTGGGTAGTTCTGTATAGCATCGCTATCATACGCAACGCCAGCATTCTCTAGGAGTAGGGCGCAATCATCAAAGTGAAGAGCTCGAGCCCAGTTAAGGGCTGTATACTGTTTGTACCTTTGGTTGGTAGGGACATGTTCACTGCGGAGCAAAACTTCAATCATTCTTGTAGAATTGTTCAGGACGGCCTGAATGATTATTGGAAGTCTGAAACAGGATTTTTTCTTGGACAACATCTTTTTGTAATTTTCGAGGATGTAGGCCGTCACCGAAGTATTATCTGCAAATTACAAAGGATATCAATAGTTACGTAACAAAAAAACATATAGTAATTATAACTATCATGAATAGGATTGGTAAAATTTTGAAACATACATGCGAGTGTTGAATAACAATTGCTACGCTCACATGTACGTAAGGCAAATGTGTACCATGTGACAAGAGAGTTTTATTGGTGTAACGTTAAGTTTACTAACCATAACATACAGCATAATATAGCATATGGCGACAGTCTACACCACCGCATCGAAGAATCTCTTGAACCACAGTGTTGTCAGCCTGTAGGAGCATATCCTTGATGACTTCGTCCTTCCTTACCAGGCATGAGCACGTGAAAAATCCATCCAAGAAACAGAAAGGAGACAATACGGCTCCTTTCTTACAGAGACATTTTATACACTTCATTCGTCGGCATTTGATAGCAACAAGCAAAGCGCAGTTAATATCTCTGGGGTGTGTGACATAGTAAGTTTTACAGCGACCAGCGGAAATGAGGATTTTCAGAGATCGAACGTTGTCCTCCTGCACAGCCAATCGAATGGTGTCATGGAGAACTTTTTTATACATCACCGAGCAAGCCATTGGCGAACTGATGTGTGACGTAAGAACTCCCAAAAGCTGGTCTTGTCTGTGGAGTACTGCCAGGTAATATGGGTCGACCATGTGTACAGAGGTAGTCATTTCGTCACATCCCAAAATGTAGGGTGATCGGATTCTTTCTTGTAGCGCATGCGCAATGTATTCTACAACTTTGACCTTACCAAATGTACTTGCAATATGGACGGCAGTGAAACCGGCCAGAACCGCATCGCCACACTGCTCTGTCTGTAAACTGTTGGCACTATCGTCGGTGGTTTGTAAAGTTGAAACTTTATTTTCGGCTGCGAACATGTGAGGACAGCGTCCACGTTCAATGATAGTCTGAAAGTTTTGAAGAGTGTTTTTCCTAGCTGCATCTCCATCAAACGCGAGTCTTTCAAAATTGGTGGAACAAACACATCCCTTTGAGCACACTGTAAAACACAAATGGCGATTGATAGTTACAGGTGCCACACGTGTGTTTCACGGCGTCCTTCAATAAAGTCATGTCGAAAATAGTTCTGTTGTTCAGTGAACGCCTTTAAAAAGTTCTATGGTAAAGGAAATTAAATAGTATATGATAGAAACATAAAATGCGTTTCCTTCAATGAGAATGCGCTTTTCTATTGTTTAAAGGTATACTATTCTTATCACAAATTACTTTGATAGTCTAACGTTAATGTGCAATAAGACAAAACGGTGACAGTGATATACTTACCAACAGTAATTCTTCTACTGATCAGCCTCACGTCTTCTTTCATTAACTTGATAATTTCTTTAGACGGTTTATCAATGAGGTCCTGTGTCCAACGCCACGCTAAATCCTGCTCTGTCATGTCAGCTTCTCCTTCGTAATGCAAACCCAACATATTAGTAAAAATATAATGTAATGGCGTCTGCTATGTAAATATACGTGAATTTTTAATTAGACGACAACGCCAATATTATCAATAGGTAGATTGTTTTCTGGGCCAATCAACCTGTAAACAGCAAATGCTACGTTGGGACTGGATCTCCTTGTACTTGGTGCCTACTTCACTGAACACAAGGGGAGAGGTCCGTTACATGTTATCAAGAGAGGTAATGGAACCCGCCAGATAAAATGCCTACGACAGCACGGGACAGTTTGTGATTCCGAAGAGCACAAACCGCTCCAGATAGGGTTTAAACAATTCTTCAATCGCTAAGCACTTTTAACCCATAACAAAACAGTGGTTCAGTTTAGCGAAAGTAAAAAGAAAAAAATACCATTTCTGCAAGTAAAGAAATAAAGGCGCAAATATATCATTACATGTACAAAATGATATTATGGATTGATCCAATGGCGTTCTTTATTACACGAGTTGTTCAATAATTTATTACGTGACATTGATTAATATACTCTCTGCTAATAGAGTTGACCTGATATAACTCCCCCTAGTCTATTCCTATTTATATACCGTGTTTATCCATGGCTCCCTCTGGGGCCTCACCGTGCAGTACAGGTAGCTTTGACGTGACCCCATCTGATGCCTCTTCAGCCATTACAATCTGTTTGCAAGATGCCCCATCTGATAGATCTGCAGATATCATGTCCTGATTGGGTAGATCTTCTCTAATTTCTTGTGATATACCTTCTTTGGACTTGGCCCCGTCTGAAGTTTTTTCACTCGTCATATTTTGTCTTATTGTTTTATTTTGGTTCCGTCGTCGCGCGCTTGTGATGTTTTCTGATACCAATCCGACATCAGACACTTTTGCAATGTTGTCATGCTGATGCCACTTCAGTCATCATATACTGCCACATCAGATACTGTTGTCCTGCTGTCATGCTGATGCCACTTCAGTCAGATATGTCATCCTTCATCTCCAAAAAGATGCTACTTCATTCATATATTGCTAAAACGTGTCATATCGGTTCCTCCACAGTCATCACACCTGCAATCAGAGTATACAATCTCAGAACTTTCCCAATAACTTGCACATATCAAAAGCTGTAACTAACACAAAATCGCTGTGTCCATGTCAGTTATAGGACAAACTGAAAACATAAAAAACGTAACGCATATTGATCCTAAATTAATGATTTCAGACCAAAACTGAACTTAAAATCGTGTAATCCCGATGCTAGTCTGTTGTTTTAATGACTCCCGAGGGTTTAGTCCGTGCTAATTCTAAGCAGAAACACATGTAAGAATGTGTTTCATTAGTAAGATTTAAATGACACGCAAAAGCTGGTTCAAAACAAAAAAAAAATGTTATGTACTCATGGGCAGACAGCACAGTTATCAAATGAAAGCGTAAAAAAAGATGGTATGAGGCAGGCAAAAGGAAGATAAAACGAGGGACGCGAAAAACTGATAAAGGAACATGACAAGTGATTATACATAAAACATCACCACATCGCTTATACCCAACGGGTATACAAAACAGTCGATACAAAACAGAAGCGGGGAGAAAGAACCCGAACCGTTAAAAACCCACAGTCCAGAGCTTTTCATGTTCTCCACGGCAGATCTTGAATAAGCCTTTAGTCCGTGAAACATAGATCCTTATTAAGCTGGTTAAGTTATCCACTGTTCATAAAAATGTACCTTTTTTCCACTACGAAGACTTACACTCGCCTAAGTGGCTCCACATTTTCTGACAAACATTCATTCTATAATGGTAATGATGACGTTAACAAATGGACGGTGTCATTCATAGATGATATGGATGACATAGAGTTCTATATGATTATATCAATGTGACAATGTCATAAAGTGGTAAAGTATTATGATGATATGCTTATCTGTGTCATTGATCGATATTTTATCCGCGGACTAAACTGACATCCTTACTGATACCACAATTTACTATAGCGTGTAATCTAGTCGTTCCCATCATGTAAATTTGCAATGACGAGTAGAAAACACAACGATATCTACATCAGTGTAGTACACATATAGCTCTTTATAAGTAAACAAAACCAATGCGAAACACGAGAACACTATATCGACAATCACGATCGATATAAGCGGGCTGAATACTCTCGACGTTTGATTCTGACACATACTCGTACGACTAGAAAAATACACTCCTACTCTACATATTACCTCAGTGTGTTGGATATCTTGTGTTGTTCATGTGAATTCTTCTTGATATTTTGACAGGCTACCGGAAATAAACAATTTCGCATGCGCACTTGCCACCAGAGGACCGACTATTGATCGAAGCTGACTCTAGATTTACACAGCATGTTCATGGTATATCTGACAAACATAGACAAACGTCAATACACGTATCATTTAACCAGGAAAGGTAATATAATATCATGGCTACAGACTTTTAATACTTAGGACTACAAGAATGACTAAATCCCTAAGCGGATGGAAAATCATTCACAAATATTATTCGGTTTTTAAATGCAATATAGTTTATGGAATGAAGTGGGCAAATTGAACATATATTTCAAAATTTACTGTCCGAGTTTCTTTTACAGCGAATCGCGATTGTTTATATACATTAAACAGATTATCGAATGAAAAATAATCAGGAAGACAAGTATCCCTATCTTGTGTTCAATCCATCGCTGGTTACTTTCAAATAATAGTGCGCATTAATTAGGATGAAACAATTTATCTTCTTTTCGTTGTTGTCACGAAAACTTGCGGCGTTCAAATAAAAATAATCGTTATTTTTACAAAAGGATGATAAAATGACAAGTTTCATATACATATTACTACCAAAGAAAATGGAACTTAGACCTATGACAGTTAGAATGTTCTTTCTGATAAAATTATCAAAACACTAACCTTATGAATATTGTATATAAAGAGTTTTTCTTCTGGTAAAATGGGTAAAGAAAGGCTTGTGTAATTGGAAATATGTTTTACAACAGGTTTCGGGTTAAAAATTTTCCTTGTTTTTTGTTTTTGTTTTCACAATAATAATTATTTCGTGTTCGAGAACATATAACTAATAGTACTAAAGAAATCAATGAATTCTAGAAATCCGTGTCATATCTTTAAAACTAATTAATTTGAATTATTCTTGAATTGATAATACCTTAAAAAAAAGACACATTGACAAATAAGTTCAAAAGATATAAATGACTGCATTAAGTTTTGATCACAGCGTCGTTGGACAGACTGGTGTATATGGAGGACCAGTGTCTGATTTTATCATAATGGACCTAAAATGTCGGAAAACAGTAAAAAAAATTATCCGACAGAGTCATTTCAATGAAGCATAGACTGGCCTGTGGTGACGGTCGACGATGCATGTACACTGTGTACCTACAGTCAAGATGAATACTAAATTAGTGCTGTGTGAAGCTCTGTGGTATTTGTTTTTGTGTTCTAAGAAACAAATAAAGAAACACTACATGTTAAGTTTAGAACCACCTTTATTAGTGTTGTTCATATATGAAATATAAAAATATGACAAAATGAAAATGCTGCTTTCATTGTTTGTTCAAATGTATAACGTCCTTTGGACACAAGTAGTGTATGGTACGGAAACGTACAAATATATATTGTGTATGGTTAACAATGTTAGTGCTCGTTCACAAGGTACAGACGTTATCGTGTCTATTCGAGTTGTACTGAAATTAACTAATCTCAGCATATCGTTTACACAAGAAGAACCGAACCCATCATGTTTATATTAATTTTCTCGTAGTTTATCAATTGATAAATGTATCTAGATGTAGTGTTGAAACATCAAAACAGTGTGACATCGTGATATTTTAGGGTCTGGGGTATCGTTATTGCGGCTACATCGTCTACAGCTCTAAATGTACGAAGGACCTAAGAATGTTTTTTTAATTTTTTTTTTATTTTTCATCTTGGTTGCCATCTACTTAAACTTTATACTGTCTAGTAATCAACATCAAACCTTCACTTAAACTTCCTTCCTACTGTATCATTTCATGTAAGCATCGTTTTATCGACATCTTTAACTTTTAAAAAAATAAATTCTCAAAATATCAGTTTGGTCAACCTGATTACATATGGACCCGTTATATGTAAAAATTCGGTGGTAACGCTTCCAAATGAATCACTAGAAGTTATTAAAACTTGTGTTACTTCCATCTGTGAATATGACAACGGATATCGCTAAGTTACAAATTTATATTTGATAAGGATGAGAACAGTACAATGGAATTCTAACAGAGGAGTCCTCAACCTACACAGAAAGTTTGCTGTGGAAAAACAAGTAAATTTCATTTATCATATTTCTGAAGTAAACGATAGCAAATGCTTTTTGAAATGACGTTCATTTTCACGATTTATCCTATATTTACTATTTTTTCCACTTAATTTTCATAGTAATATTGATAAGGTTAAAGTTCATGTGAATAAATTATAATATCATTATAATCGTAATTAATGTATTGAAGGAATCCGCCTGCGAGTAACACTGTAAAATAACACAGCAGATTAGAACATCAACATCGTCACAAAGCAATGTCTGCGACTCCTAATACCAACTATACTATGGGTGACAGTATGTTAGAAGCTAGTTAGACGTATACAATCGTAGCTTTCATGCATTGACTAGATTAGTTAGCGTTGCTCATCACATTCAATGTCTTGTTATATCGAAATGGCGAAATAAACAACAAGACTAACAATGAGATAAAAAAAAATAATAATAACTAAATATAGATATATTTACTTTGTAACGATCCTCTGATACTTCATACAATACCAGTGATTTTATTTTCAGATTTTTGAATTCGCGAAGACAGTCATTTTTAGATTGAGGGCATGTAGCATTTTAGTTGAAAGACTCGATTACAATTTAATTAGAGTTCAAGCGAAAAGATAGATTAATTTCCAATTATATTCTGCCAAGTACATGGCAAATATTCGGCATACCATCTAAATATCATTTTATCATTATATCGAATGAAGCGTTGAAATAGCATGTTCACAAGAAAATATAGATACACTCAAACACATTGACTACAACTAAACGATTAGTTTATAAATTAGGCAAAGAAAAAAACCATGCCGATCACTCGACAACATTTCACTTATCATAATTAAAAAGTTATTGCCAAGGTGATACATCAGTAAACGATGCTCAATTTGATATTTCAAATTATCTTGGAAAGATCCAAAATCAAAAATAATTATAAGAATGCAACACTAAAGAATATAGAAAATCCGCCTACAGGATCCCACCTTAAGCTAATTCCTAATATTTTATATTTTTATTGATAGATATTTAATAGAAAAACAATGCAATATAAAAAAAATAGATCCTTAGCAGGTTCAGTATTTGTTACATAACAAAATATTGAATTCTTATTAAATTTGCATCTGGATAAAAACGTGGCAGCACAATTTAATTTTCATCTATATTTCCATGAATGTAACACTGCCATGGTGTACCACTGTCGGAGAAACGACGGCCATTGCACTCGCTGGAGTGCGGCCATCCGTATCCAACCTTTGCTGAAGAGTATTGTCTTTAGAAAAGTGAGGTGTTTGTGACTGTGTGTTCGACTCGTGGTTATTTTGAAATTGACTCTGATTTAATCCTAGTTTGTTAGTCACTGTGAGAACATTTCCATTTGTTCTGGAGGGCTGTGTTTGTACACCGTTAATTCTGGAGTTCTGTGGCGTTCTATCAGATTGTGATGGATTCTGCGACTGAGTGACACTACTTTGGCGACTGTATGTCTGGGAAGAATTCATTGACATAACCGTTGTTTGGCTGTTTTGGCGATTGAACTGAGGTGTGCTAAACTGCACCGGATTGTTCTGTTTATGGTACTGAGGAGTGAGATGTTTGTTGTGTCGTTCGAACACTGTGCTACTGGCCGCAACTTTCCTTAAGCGATCCCGGTAGCCATCATCCTGGTCACTTAATCCGGTCTCCTGTCGTACATGATTCGATTTACCGAAATTGCTGAGCGGTGTCATAGCGTTTGCGTCTCCAAACGCATATTTTTGTGTCACGTTTGAATCAAAATTCGACCTATTCTGGCTATCTGCAAGATTAACAACCTTTCGACCATGACCACGAGACGACCGACTATCTAAACTGTCAGAAGGATAATTGTCTTGGAAACTGTGGTCAGATCGCGGAGGCACTGGAGGCGGTTCATTTTCATCCGGATCTAGCCCAGGTGGGTGCTTGTAAACGACTGGTGTCGAGGTCATTGTAAGAGTCTTTGCTACATCGTTAGCTAACAATCTCTCTTCATTATTGACAGCCTCTAATAAGTTTTGTTTTTTCTCAAAGCGATTGATAAGAGTCGATATAGAAGGTACTGTATGTCCATTTCTATCAAGTCTATCAAGAGAAGCTGCTATTTTTTTCTCATCCTTTCGGCTATCTTGACCTAAATTTAGATGCAAATTCCGCGATGGTTTAGCTGGCGGTTGTCTAGCGCTAGGAACCGGTGTGCTTTCTTGCACAATCGGCGTTTCATGCACTCGATGATAAGAAAGACTTTTGGCAGGAGTACTTTGGGTACTACTCGGAAAGTTTTGAGAACTCGTCGGAGTGACGCTTGATCTGCTAGTTAATGGGAATGTGTTCATGTGTGACGTCGTTGGTGTCGCAGGTGGTGGTATCGATGTAGGAGGAAATGTGACTGGGTCGGCTCTATGTTTGACAGCCTGTCCGGTTTCAAGTCTACCCTGGTTTTCGTAATTATGAACACGTTTTGCACTATACGAAGGAACACTGGCTGGGGTGTGTTGAAACGCGAGTGTTGGTTTATCATTCCTACGGCTGACACTTTGTTCGAATACAGGATGTCTTGTAGGAGCCCCTTCTCTATCACTAGGTGAGTATGCGTCAGATATGCTGAGATTGCTGCCAAGTAGGATAGGTGCACGTGTCCTCACCACTCCGTTTGCTGGATGATCACGGTTGGCATTCTTCGGAGTAGTGTTGTTGTTAATATCACTTTTTTCTAAGGTGTTTGTAATTATGTTAGGAGACGAGTAACCGTCTTTGTCGACAGGGGCATGAAACGGCGGTGTATGGTATAGTCCTGCATATTCTGTTGATATATTTGAGCCAGCCCGTCCCTTACCTCCTCCCGTCGTCATGATACGACTGTCCAGCACGTTCCTATGTTCGGTAGAATTAGTCCGATAATCACGTGAGGAGCTACCCCCGGGTTGTGTTGCGTACTTTTCCTGATAACGGGCTGCTGTCTGTCTATTGTCTCTCCCAATACTTGTTACATATGGACTTATCTCATTCTCAGAAACCACAACACGAAGAGGCATATACGACGGTAATGACGTCATTGGTAAACTATGTGGTATATCTCTGTTCTCCTGCAACCCTGCAACTTCCGCCGTCCGTTTGCCAGAAGGTGAATGCGTGAATTTCTGCACCACCGAGTTTTTGAACTTGGAAAAAGAGGTAGAGCTTTGTGAAGTTGGTTGTTGTCGCTCTGACATCAGGTGGGAACTATCAACATTAGCTTTAATATCACCAGCGCTGCTTAGTTTACCAGGTTCCCGTTTGAGCCAGGACACAAAAGGAAACTGCTGTTTATCGCTCCTTTTTCCTGCCCATTCCAATGTGTCTGACTGTGATGTACCTGACCGAGACTCGGTAAGCACTCTCTCCATATCCTCGTGATTCTCGTAACTATGTGCGCCAGGAATTCCGTTTTCCGAGGGCACTGAGGTAGTTGAAGCAGCTTTAGGGAGAGGCTTATGTAGACCAGAAGAAGGTGGTTCACAAGTTAATTGTTTAGGTGAATGAGATTCCTGTAGAGCGTTTATATGAGATTTGTACGTTGCTGAGACATCCTTGGGGGGTGCACCAACCATGGGTTTGTCTGAATTATGACTGTCAGAGTACCCATTGACCTTAACCCCTTTGCTTGAGACCACACTATCCTTTGCATTGCCTCCTTCTTTCTGTAAGTTTGCAGCTCGACGTGAGGCTGGAGTATTCTGGACTGTTTCCATAAACTTGTGATCAAACATTGCCACCTGAAAATAGATAAAAACAATGATGTATATTCGTAAGGTCGTGTAATTTAAAAGGTGTACTTGTGTATTTGTTATTCCAAAGCATAACCCTCTTGTAACAACAAAGCAATGACTTTAGAGCATGACCTAAAACAGCATCACCTGTCACCAGTACAAAATTAAATTTTGATCGACATTGACATTTGAACTGTGATTAGAAGTGATGACATACCAGTTGACCTCTGTGTTTGAAATCCATCTCGAAACGCTCTTTCCCTAGTTTACGATGCGCTAATTTCCAGTAGTATTTGCAATCATGAAGAAATGTTGCCCATATCTGGAAGAATTCCTGAGGGGTAACCTGCAATAAGATATGATATTAGAAAAACTTCAGAAAGAGAACGAATTCGTTATTTTGCTGAAAACACAATATCAGAAATGATTTATTGATGGAATTATTAAGCAAGGTTATGAAGATGAATGTTGCCATACCATGTCTGGATCCATTAAGAAGTAGGCGGTTGTTCGCCGGAAGTAAGAACGTGTGTCTTGTAAAAGTCGCTCCTCTTCTAAGATTATCTCCAACGCTATGAGTAGAAATTTTAATATTCTTAACTAAACATTAGTAAATATATAAACATGCTGCTTTTTATATTTTACAGGAATTGCGAAACAAGCTATCGCCTTATTTTGATCACGCTCGACGTGTAATAGCGTCATCATCAGCTAAATCGTGCAATAATGAAAACATATTACTGGCTTTTATTTCATCTTCCATATCAAAATCATCGCACATTTATCTTATTCAAATTGATATTCGTCTCACAAATTTCGGAAATGTTAAAAGACAATTCACGGGTAAGACCATTAATCTATCGGTTGATTTCGTAGCAGGGGCCTTACCGCATGTCATGAAATTTTCGGTAGTTGTCCACAAATTATCCCTGGTATCCATAGCCTCTTTTGTGGACATGACTAGGTACTAGAACAATAAAACAAAGTTGCTCATCATAGTAATGAACTAATGAATTGAATTTCTTAAAATCTTCAAGAAGAAAATACTTTTCCATTCATCAAATCTCCAGGTTTTTAAGCATTTAGGAAAATGTAAAGGCTCGTTGAAGTAAAAGCTGTTTTAACGAATACAAGTTTATGAGTGTTAATTATCTTTTGATATTATTCATACTGAAAAATACCGAATTCATTACAGTTTAGGGTTAATTCAACTCCCAGTCTGTGTTTTGACATTTATTTAGCATCATTGATCAGACTAAGAAGAACGAGAGTCTTGTATCAATTAATTTAATATTAGGATAGATATTTTTCTAGATTTGTACGGAAATGTGTTATTCACTTTGTGTCTTTTATGATATGGCAATAAATCATTTACCATGATTCAAACTCTTTAATGCAAAATAAATGACATACACCTAATTCACAAAGAGTTATACAGAAAACCGTATAGTAGAAAAGTTATGATAAAAATTAATTGAGATAAATCTCACCTTTTCTCTCGTGCTTTTTACTTCAGCTTTCATGTTTGATAAAGCTTCGTTGATGTTTTCAAATGAAACCTGCAATGCAATCATACGTTTTATCAAAGTGTCATGACTTGCGTTCTACAATACAAAAATCATTGTGTTTTCTAAGAACTGTCATACCAGATTACCCTTTAATAAATTTAGTGTAATCTGTGTAATCTATATGTTAAGGTGGTACGACGGCCGATGAAGACATACACTTGTTGTAAAGAATCTATATTTTAACGCCTTTGATTTCTATGGAACTCTAGAGAATCAATCAGCTATCTTAATTTGTTAGCCGCTCTATACTAAAGCTCTTAATATTTTCCTAATCAAACGTGTTTTTCCACTGTGTCTTCGATATTCTGGATATATACATATTTTATGTCATTATCGCAACGCATTGCATTTACGTTCACAATTTCATTTAGATCACAGCATGATAAGCATTGATATGGTGCCTAAGGCAGTAGAGGTTTGATAAATATAAATAGGATTTTAACATTATTTCGCATTAACTGTTAAATCATTCATTATGAAACTGTATTTACCTGCGCTGCATGTCTCATATTAGAAGGTTCCGGAAGGCGAAACTTGGTTGGACATCCAAGCTCAATTTCCACTTCGTAACATTGGCAATACAACTTCAGTACAAACTCCAGCAGGTTACCTTTTGCGTCCTGTACCAAGAAAAGCAAGTTTTATAAACCATCATTAGTAATTGGAAATATTACGTTACCCTAAATGCTTAATCCAGCTAGTCGCCAAACAATGAACGTTATACAAGGGAGGAAATCCATCCTATTTTAAAGAACACTTGCGAAATATATATCATAAACAAATAACTGTTTTCAATTAATTAACGACCTATCGATAACACATTCAAACGTATTCATAAGGCCTTATATCCAAATCAAATTATTTCAAAACATTTCTACAATTCCTTGTTTTGTAGTATGCTTTTTTAAAACTAAAAATAACACTGTTTACATTAATCAAAACTAATTAGCCTTACCCTGTCCTGAACTTCCTTGAGTCTGTTCATGACTTCCAGACCGAATCCGTCTGCTTGACCGTTTTCCGTGCCACCGTTTAGATAGTTACCAACGGCGAGCAACGACTGGAGCAGATTTTTGAGAGCAGAACTGAAACCAAACAAAAATCATTTACAATGTTCATTGTACATTACATACCCTATATTCTAGAACAGTTAAATGCATCGTTCCTTTTATGTCCATGATATATAGCGAGCAAACAAAGCTTACAGACCCATTCGACTACGTACGACGTCCAATCACCTATAAGACACTGTTCATTATAAACGGTTTCTTTTTGGGAGACAACTATACCAATCTCAGCCAGATGTTGCCAAGTAAACATTTCTCTAATAAGTACCTGTTCGAAACCTCCTCACATGCAGTATGGAGTTCTTTGAGTTGTTGCTCTGAAACAATAGACAGCGACAAAATTACAATTTAAACAATTTTTGTTATGACGTCTAACATCATATTGTCATATATATTTGTTTCAAATATGTCTCAGTTTTTTATCAACAATAATCGTGTCAAATCATGCTTAATAATCGTTCTTTTGTCACCATCTTATTATTAATTGTTTTAAGTTCAAACAGTTTACCTGACATATTATTTCATTGGTATATGACAAGGGACTAGACTACAAGACAAAAAGACATTTAACAATCATATATATGAGCTTTCCATATCGACTGCTTGAATATAAGTGCAGCTATAGTTACTCACCAGTTTCAAACAGGTGCCACTGTACTCTGTACCTAAACCTGAGGAAGTCCATACGTTCCTTACAATGACTAACCTTGGACATTTCATACAACATATACTCGGGGTAGTCCAGAGACGCTACAACACATGTAAATAACATTTATATATTGTATAATCAAGCAGTATGAATCTTACTGGTAAATATGAATTATACAATAAGCATTACACGCTGTAGCAATCTTCACTTGATATGATTGTATTGCAAAAAGTTCAGCATCTATCACGAAATACTTTTGTGTCTTGTGAAAATCGTTCGAATTTGAAAGTAGTAGACGCTGCTGGTGGACTTAACGGCATGCCTTGTTCTAGCTAATTCGAACAGTGACACGGTTCAGAATATACACACGTAATTGATGTTCCCCAGTAACTAAAATTATGAACTTTATAGAATTATGGGGCTAATGCAACTTCTCATGAAATGTTGACATCTCTTTCGATCAATTTTGATTTTTCTAAATCGCCTGCTAGGTTTTAAATGTTAGGTCTTTAACATCACTAAAAGAACGAAATCGCTGTATGGTATAGTTTAATTCATTGTCTGACCCTATTTGATTCCAAATTTGTATTAAAATGTGTAATGCACTACTATTCACAATTGTGTGTCTACTGTGCAATTAACGTGAAAGTTGATTACAGTCCCAAGGTGTCACTTGATGTATGCCTTGTTTATTTTTTAGTTAGATATCCATAATGCCCAAATTAATGATCTTACTAGTATCAATATGGATCATTTGTAAAGATCTTATCCGGATATTTACAGCAATAGTTTGTAAGTGTCGTATCAGACATAAGCAATCTATTTAATCTTAATGCCAGTTTTCGTTTCCCCCTCATATTTACATACAGCTTCGACGACATGGAATAAAGTGAATTTTTACATGAAAGAAACAGCGAAATATCCAAAAACATTTCCACTACCTGAAGTTTTTCGTCGGACATGAAATTGAACCTTCTCTATTTCATTTCCTCCGCCAATGAGTTCAAGCAGTTCTGCGAACCTAAATTTTAAAAAAAATTCAAATTTCAAATAAGGTCAACTCTTGACGATTCATATAGATCTACAATTTATGAACATTGTCTCATTAAAGTGTCTGATCTGATCGCTAAAGACAAGCTTTTGATAACTCTCCATACAGATAATAAATCTCCAACGTATAAATTTACAACATACCTGTCAGAATTAATTTGTTTCGTTTCTAGTGACGTCACAACACTAATAACATCATTCATTGAACATGGTAACGACTTCATGGTGTAGACAGCTCGACGAGACTTTTCAACATCTAGTAAAGTCACCAGCTTTGATAAAATAGGAAGGAAGTCTTAGTAGAATAGAGCAAATCTCACTCTTACAGACTGATAATTTCTTAAACAAATTATTTGTTAATTACATATTTGTATATGGTATTGTGTTTCTATTACATGTATGTCAATGACTTATAGTAACTCTCATCATTATCATGTCTTTAACTTAATCTTACTTTGCTATAACTTTTAATATCAAATAAAGACCTTTTGATATAATATCCACTATATCCACGTTTGTAATTATCCTAGTCTCACCTGCTGTTTCGTCTTGCCTCTTACTCGCGCGATATCGTCATATAATGATTTAACATCGGCGCACTCTGCACTCTGGAACAACCTGATTAGACAGAGAAATTTATAAAATGATGATGAAATGGCTCTATTTTAATCTAAACAACAAACTTATGTGTATGTCATCTTCTGTTGTAAATAATGTGTGATTATTACTATATAATAATAATACTACCGTCTCATTAAGATATAGTTATAAATCGAGGTGGTCTTTTTGATATCAACCTTTCTGCATCTTCAGCTTCAAGTTTCGGTTCCACCATTGTGTGCCAAATCGTAGGTGGCGTTCCATCTGCTGTATAAGAGAGGGGGTATACCGGATGAGTACACTTACAGCTAAGAATGCACAGAAATAACACAATAGGATAAAGGTTCGACTGAATGCTCAAAAGTCTTGTTGACATTTGGAATTATCGTCATGATTCATTTAAAGGAATACAGTTTTATTCAGTTCAATTTGAATGCAACTAAGGGTAGTTTTTACGTGCTGCTCGATGTTTTATATATGAAAGTGTAACAAGTTATTCCAGAATAGTACAAACAGACAAACAGTAAAAACAGATTGTTGCGT